CGCCGCCCTGACGAGGCCCCCGCGGGCTCGGAGCCCCGGCCAGGGGCCGCAGCAGGGGTCAGCCGCCCGCCCGGAGCCATGCCTCGGGAGCCCACCGCTAGCCGCGCCGCAGCCCGGGGTCCTGGGCCGGCATGAAGACCGCCGCCGGGGGACTGCGGCCCGCGTCGGCGCTGGGGACAAAGGTGCGTGTCGTGGTCGGGACCGGGCTCTCACGTGAGCCTGGCTGTAGTTTGACACTTTTCAAGAAGTTGTGACAACAGGAAGACAGATGCTAAGAGTAGTTTGGACACCTTAAAACTGAAACACTGATGGGAACTGGCATCCTGCTACCGAGCACAGCGCCTGGCCAGACTTCAGTAGACCAGGTAGAAAAGCCTAAAATCTCACCGAGTAGACCCCAATTCCGGTTATAGCCTGTTTTTTTTTTTTCTTGTAGAGACCTGTCTCCGGTATGTGAATTAGTTGTGAGTGCTGTCATTTACTCTGTGTGTGTGTGTGTGTGTGTGTGTGTGTGTTTGTGTTTAAAGACAAACTGATCCTTAAAAGTATATTTAACATTGTGGGAAGTAATTTAATAAACTTTTAACACATGTTCATCATTTTTAAATTCTGAATATTTTAGGAATTGAAAGACATTTTAATTACTGGATAAGGAATGTAACTCTTAAGTCAGCATCATGCTATTGTCTAATATTATCTTGTTAGTTGTAGCCAATGCAATAAGACATGAAATAAAAATGAGAAGCATAATTTTAAAGAAAAGAGAAAACAAAATTCTCATGTTTGAGGATAAGGCTGTCTAGTTTGAAAAAAACACCTTATAATAGTTCAGTAAGGGGACTAATTACAAAACTAGCATACACAAGTTCTTTTTTTTTCATCTGTTTCATCAGTAACCAGACTGAAAATACAATGTTTAAAATAGTGTAATTCCAATTTTTAAAGGTATGATTTCTGGGTATAGCCTTCAAAACAAAGTTAGTTTCTCGGTTACCATCAGTTAGATTTTTATTTCGGCATGTGCATGCTGGAAAGACAAAGACAGTGAGAAATCACCCCCCAGGAGGGATTGCCACTCCGTATTCCTTTCTCTGCCACAGCCCTTTCTCTTCTTGGGATCTTGGGAATACAGACATATATACCCGGCATGAGTTTAAGCCACTAGGTCTGGGACTCCAACTGCAGGTGACTACATGGGAGTCCAGTGATGTAGCCATTACACCATCTACTGGTCCCCATCAGCTGATTTTTTTTTTTTTTGAGAGGTTTTTGCTATAGGGCGTGTACACTCACCAGAAAGAGGCACGCACACACGCCCGGGTGTGAGTTTAAGCCACTGGGTCCAGGACTCGAACTGTGGTTGACTGCATGGGAGTCCAGCGACATAGCCATTACGCTAACTGCTGGTCCCCGATTTCTCACTTTCTTTCTCCTGGTAAGTGCATGTACCCTACAGCAAAATATCTCTCCAAGAAGATAAAAGAATAATATTTAGCTTATTAAAATTGAATATTTAAAAGTAGTATTTTTTTCCAAAGACTTCACTTTTGTAAGTATAATTACTTTAAATTGAAATTGTAAGTCTAATATGTTATGCTTTAATGTATCTGGTTCTCTTTGATGTTTTATGGTTTGGTGTCATGATGACTTTAAAACCTAACCCTAAAGCTAACTTCTAAGTGGTAATATATTGTAGATTTGATTTAGTTTATACTCTAGTATATTTCTGTACCTTCTCAGCTTGCAGAGTCATAGATATAACTAAGAAGAATGATTTTTACCATTTAGGTAGATTGTAGTTGCAGTCTCTAAAACTTGGACTGAGATAAGGTTGCATTTTTAAATTACTTCTAGATAGGGATACTAGGACCTGATTACCATTTCTAGAATGACCTTCCTACTGGTAATTTGCTCATTGCTGCTTTAGATTAAGACTATGCCTGCTTATCTGTGGAGAAACCTTCAGGCCTTTAGCTTTCAGCTGGACCTTATTTTTACACCTGAGTTCATCACAAATGTCCTGAGGGACATGGAGGTTTCTTTTAGGGGAATCTATTTTGACATTTTAGTACATGTTGGTAGGTGACCTTTTGTACTGCCAAAATGTTTTACTGCTAATCACTGCTGCCTGATTAGAATTGTTTTAACTCCTCATTTTTGGATGTTTTATTCTCTTATCCAGACTTTTAGATCACAATTTTATGGTTGTAATGGAAAAAAATGAGTTGGATATGTATATGAATATATCTGCTTATATGTGGATATTTATGATATATACACATATTTCTTAACCTGTGTTTGTGATTTGTTTATAATCAAAATACAGTGAGGGTTTTTGTGGAGAACTTGCCAGAATGATTCTAAAATTTATGTGAAATAATAGACATACTGGAATAGCCACATGTTGTCTTTAAAGGACTTTTTAATTCAAGATATTAAAATATACCTTAAAACTATGGTACTGGTTAAAGAATCTGAATATTAGATTAATATAACAGATATATTCCAGAACTAGTCCTTAGATATTTAAGAAGTTGCTAAATGATATTTGCCAGATCAGCATTGAAAAGGAAGATTATTTAGCAGTTGATGCTGGGGGGTAAAAAGCAAATTAGAGCCTCTTCTCACATTTATAGGGTCATCTCACATCCTGAAGTAGTAAATTAAACTTTGGCTAAAGAGTTAAAGGTAAGAAGTATATCCGAAAGAGATAGGATGAGGGCCAGCAGGTATCGTGGTTGTTGAGGTAACTGGATCCCACATGGCCAACTTCACAGTTGGAGCTGCAGACGCAGTGGCTTGAAAAACATGCCAAGTGTGTGTGCGCACATGCCCAGAATCCCAAGAGGAAAAGGGATTATGGTGTGACCATGAATCATGGGGGATACTTTCTAACTTTGTCTATATTTGCGATGAGCACACATGCCCTGTGGCAAAAAAGAAGAAAAAAGTCTCGATAGGTAAATTCTCATGTAAGTTCTTGTCATAGAGGGCATTCTAATAACAGGAGTCGTGAGAGAAAAAAGCTTAATTCTGTCTGACCATGTAAAAAAAAGTAACATTTTTCTTCCATTATTCCCTCACTCTAAGCAAAATTAAGCAGGAAAGCAGGAAAAAAGCACTTAAAGGAGAGATGACAGGCCTAGAATGCTAATACGAGAAGTAGGGGCACTACCATACGGGAAGGCTCCGGGGTTTGCTTCCTAGGTCTGCCTGGACACACCCAGTGTGCCCACCATCCTGGCTGGCTGCAGGGCTTGGGCGAGAATTGCAGCATGAGGACCCAGTTGAGGAGACTGTTTCATTGTCTCTCTTTCTCCCTCTTTCTCAGAAAGGAAATTAATAAACTGGGTGGGGGGAACTTTTAAGGACTGGCCCATGGCTTGGTGGTTTCCACGAGCTGGATCCCACATGACTGATTATATGATCAAGTCCCAGACCTGGTAGCTTAAGAAACACACCAGGGTGTTCCCCAAATCCCAAGGGATTAGAAAGATGGAGAAGGGATTACTGTGGTCAGTCTCTGTTGTGAGTGCTTTCTTGCCCTTTTTCTCTGTTTCTGGTGAGTACATGTGCCCTTTAGTGAACCTGAACTTTTAAGAATGTTTAAAAAGGAGACACGAGGGAACCAGCAGTTAGCGTAATGGCTATGTCGCTGGACTCCCACGTAGTCAACCGTGGTTCGCGTCCTGGACCCGGTGGCTTAAAACTCATGCCGGACGCGTGTGCATGCGTGCCCAAGATCCCGAGAGGAGAATGGAGGAGAAGGGATTGCGGCGTGACCATCCCCCCTGGTGGGTGATTTCTCGCTTTCTGTCTCTAATGTCTCTCTCTGTCTGTCTGGCGAGCGCACGCGCCCTACAGTGAAAATCTCTCCAAAAAAAAAAAAAAAAGGAGACACGACAGGCATTATATATCTCTGTATCTCTCTGTACTGTGTAACCTATACTACCAAGAGCCCTTAAAAACCTGTAAGAAAGTCCCAGTTTATTCAGCCATTCCTTGATTGCTGGAAATTCATGTAGCTTTCATCACTTTTGTTTTTTGCTTTCTTTTTTAATTGATAGAGGGTGTATGCAATGACCAGAGGTGTATGGTGGGGGGCAGAGAGAAATAAAGAAAGCACTCCCTCCACCCCCTTGAAATGTGATCATACCACAAGCCCTTTTCCTCCATTTCTCCTTCCTGTTAAGATTTTGGGTACACGTGCACACATGCCCAGTATGGTTTTTTTTTTTTTTTTTTGAGAGATTTTCACTATAGGGCGCGTGTGCTCGCCAGCCAGCCAGAGAGAGACATAGAGACAGAAAGCGAGAAATCAGCCCCCAAGAGGGGATGGTCACACCGCAATCCCTTCTCCTCCATTCTCCTCTCGGGATCTTGGGCACGCATGCACCCGCGCCCAGCGTGAGTTTTAAGTCACCGGGTCCGGGACACGAACCGCGGTCGACTACGTGGGAGTCCAGCGACATAGCCATTACGCTAATTGCTGGTTCCCACGCCCAGTATGTTTTCAAGCCACCAGTCAGCCATGAGAAATCCAGTTCCTGATATATAGCACTTGACAACTGCTCTTTGGAGCTGGCTCTCTATTATTTTTCTGCTACAAACAAGGCTGCAATCAATATTCTTAATATAGGGTTATAGTAGAACGTTTACATCAGAATGTGAGTTTGAAAAGCAGGACCCAGGGGCCAGCAGGTGGGATGGTGGTTATGGACCTGGACTCCCACATGGCTGAAGTTGAATCTGTAGTTCAGATTCTGGACCTGGTGGCTTGCTTTCTCACTTTCCCTTTCTCTTTTTTTCTGGTCAAATTAAAAAATAATAATACATAATTATTTAAAAATACAAAAGCAGGTCTCAAATAAATAAACTTTTAAAAAAAAATATTAGGAAGGGACCAGTAGGTAATGTAGAGGTTAAAGTGCTGGGTCTCAGATGGGTGGGTTGCTGTCTGGCTTGAATTCTGGACTCAGAGCCTTGAAAACCCAGAGGCTTGGAAATCATGCTAGGCACATGTGCATATGGGCTCAAAATCCTGAGAGGAGAATAGAAGAGAAGGGATTGTGGTATGGCTACCTCCCCATCCCCGCTGGGATTATTTCTTGTTTTCTCTCCCTTGCTCTCTCTTCCCCAGAGAGCATGTGCACTCTATGGCAAAAGCCTTAAAATTTTTAAAATACACAGAATTATATATACATTAGGTATATAATTGTGTTTATCTTTAAATATAACTATTGTGTAAACCTTGGAATTCAGGGATTGGAAATCTAGTTTGATCATTCTCAAGCAATTTTGGATGTCTTTGGCATGTGATAAAATGTTACTTTTCTGAGGCTGGTGTGCATAAATGTTTAAGGAAAGGAGACTGGTCACACCTCTACTGAAACGTTAGTTCTTTACTATTTCAGGGTACTTAGTACCTTCTGTGAAGTGATGAAAGATTTGTCATTGTTAAGATAGTCCCCAAATGAAAGGGAAAACTGTTGGTGATGAAAATAGAGGTCTTAAAGTATGAAATCATTCCCAACCAGGAAAAAAACATGTCCCATGAATTAAATGGAAGATAAGGTTCTTTAGTAGTCTTACCACTATAGATTCTTAGGGCACTGTCAGCGTGAGTTCTCTTAGGATCTAGGATCTAGTGTAGATGTATAGAAAAAAGACTGGAAGGGAGTATGCTAAATGGTAGTTATCTCTGAATGATGGAATCTGGGGTGATTTTTCATATGTTCATGAAAAAAATTTTTAAATATTATTTAAGCAGAAAAAAAAACCACAAATGGCTTTTAAAATACATTTAACAGTAATTCTCCTAGACAGTGAAATTCTCTTACAGTTAAGTCTGTAATCAAACAGGTAAATCATTATTTTTACCATCTTGGTTTGACCTGGCCCTTCTTTTCAATGTTAACAGAAGCCATGCAGTGACACCTGCTAAGACTTGTTGGTAGCCATGTCGGAGCCCCACAGGGTCCAGTTCACCTCTCTCCCAGGTTCTCTGAATCCTGCATTTTTGAAGAAGTCTCGGAAAGAGGAGATTGGGGGAGCAGAACAGCATCACGACTGTGAGCCGGCTGCAGCAGCTGTTCGGATTACACTCACCCTCTTTGAACCAGATCACAAACGCTGCCCAGAGTTCTTCTACCCTGAGCTGGTGAAAAATATCCGTGGGAAGGTGAAAGGCTTTCAGTCCGGAGACAAGGTACACTCCGTTGTCACTGCAGTCACTCTGCAAACCTAATGTGCAGTGTCAGCACATGCATATGAGTCTTCTGTGTGGGGAGGCAAGACTAGAGAGGTCTGGGCTCCTCCAGGAACATCTCATTCACCCAAGGGAAGCACAAGGGAGAGGGGACATGAAGGGAGAGAATTCTTTCTTGAACCACAATCGTGATTTATACAAGATAAAAATATTTGGCAAGGCTGATCTGAATCATTGTTAACTAGCATAAATAAAGGAAACTATGGGGCCAGCAGGTGGTGTGGTGGTTAAAGGCTCTGGACTCCTACATGGCTGACTGTGGCTCAAGTCCCAAACCTGGTGGTTTGCTTTCTCACTCCCACCCTTCTCTCTTTTCTTTCTTTTTCTCCCTCTCTGGTCAAATTGAAATAAATAAATAAATAATAAGTAAAGTTCAGTAAAATAATAATAAAATAATTCTTTAAATAAATAAATAAATAATAGAAACTATAGTTTTTTTCATGCCACATTACATATACTATGTGTAAGGCCAGTCTTTGGCTATCCCGGTGCTGGGATAACATGCTAGGCATTTTTCCTTTCTAAGGAACCTTGCTCTCTGCCTAGTACTAGTAAGAGCAAATAGGAAATGACACAGACTACTCATCTTTTCTAAACACAGCAATATTCTGGGAAGTTTCTTGACCTGGATAGGCAGAAATCTGGTTCTGCCTTTCTTTTTCTTAAAATTTTTTTTTTTTCCAGATTATGTTATAGCTTTTCTGCCACTTGAAAATGAGTTTACTTTCTTGAATATGTTTTAAATCATCTATTTATCTCCCTGGCATATTTATTTTACTTTTTTATGATAGAACATTCAAATATGTACATAGCAGAGAACATAGTACAGAGAGGAAAGGTAAGAAAGCACCCTTCAGGGGGAATGGCCATATCACAGTCCCTTTTCTGCTTGGGATTTGGGGCACATATGCATATGTGCCAGGCGTATTTTTCAAACCGCCATGTCTGGTACTTGAACCACTCGGTCAGACATGTTGCGATCCAGCCACCTTAACCACCATGCCATTGACTAGCCCCCAAATTTTACAGACTTTTTAGTCGAATTATGTAGCTAGGAAAAGTGGACATATAATAAATGCATAACTTGGTGGATTTTCATGAACTTAACGCACCTATGTAACCCACACCTGGATCATAAAATATGACATTTACCAGGATACCTTCTTTCCTCCCAGGACACCACCCCAACCCTCACAGACAACCACTATCCTGGTTCCTAAAATCTTAGATCAGTTTTGCACGTTTTTGTATTTTATATAGCCAGAATCATACAATATGAGTACGCACGAAGTGAAGAGCATTTTTAAGCACCTGCTGTATACCCTGGGCCTGTGCTAACTTCCAAGGAAGAGCCTGTAGGGTCTGTAGAATGCCTCTTGGAGGCATATGGTTGTTAGCAGAGTGTGTCGGTGCTGAGTACTCAGTTGTCTAATTTAGGGTTATGTTCTTTGGGGAGTATGGTTAGGAGAATTACCCACTTTGTTTTGTTTAGATCTAAAGGTCTCAGTTTCTTTGATTGAGATATGATTGACTGAATGGAAACCAGTGAATCTGTATCGAGGATTAACTTGTTATTTATATTGAGGGCCAGTGGGCAGGATGAGAAGAAAAAATTTCAAATCTAACCATAATCTCTTTTACAAAGTAAAAGGGATTTCCTCTTCCTTGAGAGGAAGATAGTGTGTCAGGAATTGGCTAATGTGTATTTATGAACTCAAACCAATTGGTAGGAAAACTGAAATTAGAACTCGTGTGCTCTGATTTAACCTTTAAAAATAATTTTTTTAAAGAATTATTTATTTAAATGTGTTATTCAATTTGACCAGAGAGAGACAGACAGGGAGAATGAGAAAGCCAGCCTCCAGGTCTGGGACTCAAACCACAGACAGCCTTGTGGGAGTCCAGCGCCTCAAATGCCATGTCATCTACTGGCTCTGATTTAACTTTTTTATTGTGACTTCAAATGCCCTTCTCACAGGACCAGCAGTTGGTGTAATGGCTATGTTGCTGGACTCCCAGGTAGTTGATCGCGGTTCGAGTCCTAGACCCGAGAATGGAGGCAAAGGGATTGCGGTGTGGCTATCCCCCCTGGGGGGGGATTTCTCGCGTCCTGTCTGTCTCATTCTGTCTTTCTGGTGAGCACACATGCCCTATAGCAAAAACCTCTCCAAAAAAAGAATAAAAATACAACAATTAACTTCAGAATGGGGAAGAACTCTGGAAGACTGCATGGGAGTATTTAGTGAATATTGAGATTGAGAGGACATGAGGAGAAGTGACTGACCCTTAAAGGTAGGTGTCTGGAGACAGCAACAGCCGTGCCCCCTGGTCTGACTTCGGCATCACTGACAAGAGTGCGAATTCCAACCCCTTTTCTAGATGGCAAGGCAGAGCAGTGTGAGGCCTGTGCTGTGTCCAGCAAGTTCTTAACCTTTTGAGCCAGACCTTATTTTATAAGTCTTGCCAAGCCTGTGGACCTGTTAGGATGTTTTCAAATGCGTAAATAAGGAAATACATACAAAGAAAATCAGCTGTTGAATATATTGAGCACAGTTCTGTAGAGGTTGAATGTCCCCAACTGAAGGGCATTTGCTGTTTTTGTAGTTCTGTCGTCCCTAGTGGTGTGGTGGGTGACTGTAGACATTTCTTTCTTTTTTTTTTTTTTTTTTACTTATTTACATGATTAGAAATTTTACCTTTTTAAACAAATGCTGATTAGTTGGTAGTATGTATTCTACCTTGTCTTTTCTAAACAACCGTTGGTTTTTTTAAAGCAGTTTATAGGAGTTGAGCAGTTAGTTGAAGGGTCTATGAATAGGACTACAGGAATTCTTTTGTGACTTAATTTTTGTGGAATGGTTACTTCGCAGAAGAAAGATCTCTCGGATCCTTTCAATGATGAGGAGAAGGAAAGGCATAAAGTGGAGGCCCTTGCTCGGAAATTTGAAGAAAAATATGTAAGATTTCTCTCTTGGGGAACCGAACAACCTCATTGGGTGGGAGAGGTTTCTAGACACTTCCATATTCCATTTGTGAATTACCGTGGAATCAATGCTGATCTGGAAATCCGTTTAAAGTGTGGAGAGAAACAGAATGTAGTTAATAGGCAAACGCATTACTAGGTGCAGAAAATGTCCATAGCAGGTGCTGCTGTGTGGAGCTAAATGGGTGAATGAACAAGAAGAACCTATTCCCTGGCTTTAGAGGAGATGCTTCGTACGAAGCATAAGAAGCCTCTTAGTCCATTCTTCTATCCTAGGCCATTTGTATGGATACAAAGCCACCCTATTTTAAAATGTCTTTAGGGAAGGAGGATTTGGCATGAGAGAGAGTGTGTGAGTGTGTGTGTGTGTGTGTGTGTGTGTGTATGTGTATATATGTGTATGTGAGTGTTCCAGTGCTTTAGACTTCGTATCACTAGCTGGCAAAATTGAAGGTAATGGTAACTCTGTATTTATCAAGAAGCATGTGACCTGTTGCTTTTCAATTTTAGGGTGGTAAGAAACGTAGAAAAGACCGGATACAGGACTTGATTGATATGGGGTATGGTTATGATGAATCCGATTCTTTCATCGATAACTCTGAGGCGGTAAGTAGTTAATGCAAATGTGACATCAGAGCTACTTAGCTCTTACTGATAGTGACCAGGAAGCTGAGGGAAGAGGGCTGGGGAGGGGGCATGTCCTCTTCTTAGCATGTGGGGAAGAGCAGCACTGATGGTGAAAGAGGAGGTGACACACTTGATCTGGGCCTTGATTTCCTCCCCTGAAATGATGACTGGGCCTACCCTTAATGCTTTGGAGTTGGCACACTCACAAATGACCAGAAGGCCATCTTAGCATGCTGTCTGAAGTGTGATAAAGGAACATAGCCCATCTCGGGACCTGCAGGTGGCGTGGTGGTTAAGGGGGCTGGACTCCCACATAGCTGACCACGGTTCAAGTCCTGGACTTAGCGGCTTGCTTTCTCACTTTCCCTCTCACTCTGTCTCTCTCTGGTCAAATTAAGTAAATAAAGTTAAAAAATAAATTCTTTTTTATAAAAAAAGAAAGAAACATACCCATCTCTCTTGAGACCCACTCTGCCCCTTTGGACTGTAGGCCTGGAAACTGGAGTTGACAGTTTGTTTCTCCCTTCAGTATGATGAGCTTGTTCCTGCTTCTTTGACTACAAAGTATGGAGGATTTTACATTAACTCGGGAACTCTGCAGTTTAGACAAGCATCAGAATCTGAGGATGACTTCATTAAAGAAAAGAAGAAAAAATCTCCAAAGGTTAGAACGTGCTTGCTTTTGGATTTTAGAAATGCTTTTTGATGTGATCCTGTAAGATTAGCAGGTGTCTCGCCTGAACATGCGATGGCTTAGGCTGGTGAGAAGGCAGAGTGGATGGTCTGCTTCTCCTACCTGTGCTGTGATGAGGTGACATGAATGAGGGGGGTTCTGCTCAGCTTTCAGTCATCATGTCTATGTCACATGACACTCCAGCAGGGGCTATTTCTTGAAACGGCCTCAGGGTGGGGATATAAACAGTGCTGGGTGTGGAGTGAGGAGTATGACTACTCCGCTGAACCTCTTCTGTGGACATGTAGAGGACTTCAGTTCCTGGGGCTCTTGCCCCACCGAAAGCAAGTCAGCCTTAAGATCAGTGTGTTTCAAAATCTGTCTGCCACTGCCAATGCGTTTGAAAGGAGAGGTAGGGCCCACATATAGCACATTTCACAAAGGAAGATTTCAGACTCAAGAATGACCTCTGTCATTGCAGCCAGCTGTTTCTAAGAGGCACCGTCAGTGGGAGCACTGTGGGGTCATGGTCCAGGCACTGACCTGAGAGCTTTCCTTGGTGAAGAGGTCAGACAGGTTCCAGGATGTGCCCCGGGCGGAGCAAGGCCAGTGCTGTGTAGTGCACTTGCTCCCTGAGTTAGGGAGCCGTGTAACTGTGCCTTGTCTTTAATTCTCAGAAGCGGAAGTTGAAGGAAGGTGGTGAGAAGATAAAGAAGAAGAAAAAAGATGACACTTATGACAAGGAGAAGAAATCGAAAAAGTCCAAGTTTTCCAAAGCCGGGTGAGAGGCAGCAGCTTCTTTGCTAGGATAAAGTCTGAACGGTTAGGGCAGGACACCCGGGAGCTGACTCACCCTCTGCCCTGCAGCTGCAGAAGAGGCGCAGGGCCTGGCCCACCGTGCCATTCTGGGCGTAGTCAGACGCTCCGGTTTCTGTGTTGGATAGCCAGGGCTTTCTCTGTTCCACTGTCAGCGTTGGCAGCTCTCCTGTCACTGTGTGATGCTGATGTTCCTTGTTCTCCTGGGCACTCCTCTCCCTGCCCCAGCTCTTCTGTCTCTGCCGTTTCCCTTGTCTTCTGTGCTCATGCCTCCTCCTCCTCACTTGGTCTCACCCCAGCTGCTCTTCAAGTTGCTGCTGTTCTCTGCTGTTCCTGCTTTCTCCCTTTAAATACTTTTCTTGCCCCTCCTTTTTTTGCAACCTTTTATTTCAGCCTGGCAGTGGTTTTAAAACCCCACCGGATACTTAGCGTTATGTGACACTGTTGCTAACCTGTATTACCTCTCAAGCTTTGGTCTCAGGAGAACGAGCTCTCTATGCCAAGAGGAGGGAGGAGTGATAACAGGGTGGACTGTGACTGAGGTTCTCCTGGAGACCATTGCCCCGGAGCAGGGGCGAAGGCTTCTGGAGGTTCCCTTTGGAGGTGCCCTGCAGGCTGAGTGACCAGTTTCCCTCTTGTTACAGCTTCACAGCACTCAATGCCAGTAAGGAGAAGAAGAAGAAAAAATACTCTGGGGCTATAGATGTTAAAGAGATGCTGAAGAAATTCCAGAAGGAGAAAGAGGCTCAGAAGAAGAGGGAGGAGGAACATAAGCCTGTTGCAATCACATTGGTGGAAGCACAGGGCCTGCGGGAGTTGGAGGGTGCCTCTGACCCCTTGCTCTCCTTCTTCGGCTCCACGTCTGACAATGACTTGTTCCAGGCGGCCACTGCCATGAACTCGCTGACTGACTTGGACTTGGAGCAGCTGCTCAGTGAGTCTCCAGAAGGAAGTCCTTTCCGCGATGTGGAGGATGGCAGTGACTCCCTCGGGGTGGGATTGGACCAGGAATTCAGGCAGCCCTCTTCCCTCCCCGAAGGCCTGCCAGTGCCCCTGGAGAAGCGTGTGAAGGAGCTGGCTCAGGTACGGTGACGTGGCATGCTGGGTTGGCTTGCAAGCAGCTCAGGCAGAGTGATGTTGGTTCTGTGCTGTGTGCTCCTTGATGCCCAGAGAAACCTAGTGAGTTGGTAGTGAGACTGTAAGCTTTCTCCGAGCTCTCTGCCCACCCTGAATGAGAATCAGTATAAGCTTTGCCCATCAGGCATAGTTTCTAGGTCTGTCTGGCTTCTCTCCTTCCAGAAATTGACTTTCTTCTAGGGAGGTTTTTCTCTCTCTCCTTTCTGTCAGTGTCTTCTCCATCCAGTAACTTTCTTTTGTATGACAGACTGAGTTCGACATGGGGGGAGGGCTGGGGCAGAACTCCATCTTAATATTCTCTTGAAATTCTCGAAAGTGTGCAAACATTTGAGTTACACACAGAATATGCATGTACTTCCCACTAGGTTCCAGGTGCTCCCTTGCGCTGTGTACCATCAGAGGTAGGTAGTGGTCACCAGAGTACCTTAGTGGTGATAGATAAAAAGCAGCTGAGCTGTAAGAGACCAGTCGTGTTCCATTAGCAGCGGCGGCAGCGGCGGTGGTGGTGGCACAGACTTTGGAATGGAGCAGCCAATTGCTGTTTTCTTCCAGCAACTGGGAATTGATCCCTAAGTGCTGAGAACCGTCAGTTCAGTGATACATCTCTGCCTGCGAACCAAGCATGGACTGCTAGTTACATGGCATTTACCTTTCCTAACAGTGGCATGTTATCTTAGCATCTGGACTAGTAAGGCAGCTGCTGTGGCCTTTACACTCTAGCTGTGAGTGTTAACCAGGACTTCCCCAGCATTTCGGAATTGCTGTTATATGTATTGTCCCTTGTGTTTTAGGGCAGGATAAAATATCAGCCACAGCTGCAGGTGCTTTTCTCACTTGCAAATAATATTTGCGCACAATGTATGAAGCAAATAAAATATCTTACTCAAATCTCCAGTTCCTCCTTGTGAGCGTGTATGCTGCATTGGACAGAGTGATCTGTTTGAATGTGATGATTTGAATGGATTGTGCCATGTCAGGGATTCAGAGCGTATCTTAATATAGGACTCTGATTTGGAATTTGACCTGGCATGTCTGGGCACAGTGCCCTGTATTTTTGCTGTCAATTCATGCTTAAAAAAACCAAAACATTACTCCTTGTTCATGTCAGTCCTCTGGCTTATAATTGAATTGTTTCTTTACTTCTGGAAGTCTTTTTAAATAAGTAAGGTCTGTGTGACAAGCAGCCAGTTCTTCTTTAGAGAAAAGTCGAAATAGAATTTTTGGCTGTGTCCCCATTCCCACCACAGGTTGTGCTCTAGTCTGATAAGTCGTGCTCATCACCTCACTTTCCTGGGCAAGACACGGACATGTGTCGTAGAAATGGCGTAACCTGAAACAGCGATGGGCTATGGAACAAGCCTCACTGGGTGGTAGGTGGTCCCTCCGCAGTGACTGCCAAGTGTCAGCTCTCGGGTAGGACACGGCCAGATTCGGGGTCCCATAGACAAAGTGGACCTGAGTCCTGATGGGAAGGTGGTGACCAGGAAAGGTTGTAATTCTGGCTTGAAAATACAGTGTTCAAGTGTGTAGTTGATCCTTTAGTTTCACTTGGCCTTACTCCTATAATGGCGTTAGGAATCTTGGAAAATGGGGTGAAAAGTGAGAATTTTCCATTATCACACTAATTTTTTTTTTTTTTTTAAGAGATTTTTGCTACAGAACGCATGTGCTCGTTGGAGAGACAGAAAGTGAGAAATCACCCCCTGGGGGATTGGCCACACCACAATCCCTTCTCCATTCTCTTGGGAATTTGGGCATGCATGCACATGTGCATAGCGTGAGTGTTTTGTGTTTTTTGGGTTTTTTTTGAGAGGTTTTTTGCTATAGGGCGCGTGTGCTCGCCAGACAGACAGAGAGACAGAAAGACAGAAAGCGAGAAATCACCCCCCAGGGGGGATGGCCATGCCACAGTCCCTTCTCCATTTTCCTCTCGGGATCTTGGGCACTCACGCACATACACCTGGCATGAGTTTTAAGCCACCGGGTCCGGGAAACGAACCGTGGTCGACTACGTGGAAGTCCAGCGACATAGCCATTATGCTAACTGCTGGTCCCCATAGCATGAGTTTTAAGTCACTGGGTCTGGATTTTGAACCACAGTCAACTACCTGGAGTCCAATGATACAACCATTATATCATCCGCTGGTCCCTAGCATACTGATCTTAAAAGCAATTTCAATTTGCATATCTCTTTCAGGCCTTTCTCTAAGTGGGTCATGCAGTTGGGTCAGCCAGTGGCATGGAGGTTAAGGTAACTGGATCCCACATGACTGAATGAATAGTTTGAGTCCTGGACCCAGTGACTTTGAGAAACATGTTAGTTGCACATGCATGTGTGCCCAGAATTCCTTAGAGGAGAAGAGATTACAGTGTGGCCTTCCCCCCGGGAGATGATTTCTCACTTTCTCTCTGGCAAACACACGTTTTCTATAGCAAAACTGGAAAAGAAGTGTTTTTTATACAGTTAAAATTAGATTTGAATAATTGTTTCTTGTCTTCCATAATAAATAAATAAAGCTCACTTTTTACTTATAAAGCTCACTTTTTAAAAATAGTTATTTAATTTTTTTTTTTAATTATTATTTTAAAATTTTCTCTTGGGCATGTGTGCTCACTAGAGAGAGAAAGAGAGAGGGAAAGTGAGAAAGCAAACCATTGGCTCTGGGACTTGAACTGCGGTCAGCAGTTCAACCACCATGCCACTTGCTGGACCATAAAATCCATTTTTAATGGTTGCATTAAAAAGAAGGCTTCTGCAACCAGTAGGTGGTGGTGTGGTTATGGCACTGGACTCTTAGATGGCCGACTATGATTTAAGTCCTGGACTTGGTGGCTTGAAACTCAGGTTGGGCACTTGTGCGTGCATGCCCAAAATTCCAAGAGGAGAAGGGATTGTGGTATAGCAACCTGACATGGGGAGTCATTTCTCACTTTTTTTCGCTCTCTCGTGTCTCCGGTGAGTGCACATACCATATGGCAAAAATCTCTCTCTCAAAAAAAGGCTTCTTTTAGAAAGTTACTTAATGCTACCCCTAAGGGTCTTAAAGGTACTCTGTTCCAACTTGAGCCCTGCATTGGAGTCCCCCAAGTACTAGAGTGCTCATACCCCTAGACCCTACTGAGAAACTGGTAGGAAAGAGTCTTCCCAGGGAGGGGGTGGATTTGTACACCAAAATGGCAAATTGTTCTAGCCACATCTGGATATTTACAGCTTTAATAAGGAGTTTTGTCCTGGATCTTGAATGGAGGTTGCATGTTTATAGTTTAAATTAAACTTGATGTGAGTAACTAACATTCATTTTAATTTTCTTTTAGAGTTATTTAATTTTAGTTATCATTGTTATTGTTATTACTTTTTCAATTTGCTACAGGGCATATATGTTCACCAGAAAGGGCGGGGGGATGGGGTGGGAGAGGGAAAGTGAGAAAGTAAGCCGTCAGGTCCAGAACTTGAACTGTGTTGACCAAATGGGAGTCTAGCACTTTAACCACCATGCCACTCGCTGACTCCTCTCATTTTAATTTTCATGCTCTTTATTTTTCTTTTTTACCCTTCTTTTATCTTTGTAATAAGATTGGTTAGTTTTTAAATCTTGGCTCCAGATGTATCGGTTTCCATTTCTGCCTAAAAACCCTCTCCAAACTTGTGTTTAACACAGTATTTCGTTTCTCCTGACTCTGGCAGTTCCTCTTTTGATCCTGCCTGGGCTCACTCTTGTCACTACATTCAGCTGGCAGGGGGTGTCAGTGGGGCCTCTCCGTCCTGGTCTTTCATCCTGGATTCAGGGCAGGGCAGTCTCTGGGCAGCACCTCAAGAGGGCAGAGGAGGAAGCTGCAGGCTCTTGAGCTCTAGCCTGAGAGGGGCTGGTGGCCTTTCTCTGTGCCATGCTCCATCAGAGTGAGCCACGGGCAGCTGATTCCGGGGCGGGGAACTGAGCACCTCTTTGAGTTCTTCCATGGGAGGAGCCTGTTTTGCAATACATAGTAGATTTTAATCCAATGCATATTAGTACACTAAGGAAAAATACTTTTTTTTTTTTTGGAGAGGATTTTATTTTATTTTATTTTTTTTGCTATAAGGCTGTGCGCTCGCCAGACAGAAAGAGACAGAAAGCAAGAAATCACCCCCAGGGGGAATGGCCACACCACAATCCCTTCTCCTCCATTCTCCTCTTGGGATCTTGGGCATGTACGCACATGCGCCCAGCATGAGTTTTAAGCCACCGGGTCCGGGATGCGAACTGTGGTCAACTACATGGGAATCCAGCGACATAGCCATTACGCTAACTGCTGGTCCCCAAAATACTTTTTGTGTGTGTGTGTGAAACAAAAATTAGATGTATTTTCTAACTAAATGTGATACCTAAAATTTTATTTTTTCTCAGATTTTTGCTGAGGGCATGTGCACTTGTGAGAGAGACAGAGACAGAAAGTGAGAAATCACTCCCTGAGAGGATGGCCTTCAATCCCTTCTCCATTCTCCTCTTGGGATCTTGGACATCCATGCACGAGCCTGGCATGAGTTTGAAGCCATCACGTCTGGGATTCGAACTACGGTTGGTCATATGGAAGTCCAGTGACATAACTTATGCCATCAGCTGGTCACAATACCTAAAACTTTAAGAAATGTCTTTGAGAAGGGCCAGCCTTGTGGCCTAGTGGTTAAGGGAACTGGATCCCACATGGCTAGCTATGGTTCGAATTCTGGCCCTGGTTTGAATTCTGGCCATGGCAGCTTGAAAGACATACCAAACATGTATGCTTGCTACCCAAAGCCCTGACAGGTTGGAGAAATGAAGGAGAAGGGATTGTGGCATGACCATGCTCTGTTGGGGGCGGGGGTGCTTTCTCCCCCCCACCCCCGTCCCGGCATGCACACTCGCCCTCTAGCAATTAAAAAATGTCATGAGAACTTGTGTATGTTGTGTATGTTAAAGAGGTACTCCAGTGGGGTGCCTTGGTGGGTGCCTATACCATGTTTACTGTTTTCTTCTCAGGTTGGTCTGCTTTTCATTTCTTACTTAATGTTGCATGTTCTAATGGGCCCCAGGGAATTCATTGATTTGATGGCCTTACCCCGTCTTCTCTTAATATGCACTGATACATCTTTCGTCTTGGCCATTGGTACGTGCAGGTGCTGACAAAATCAGGTCTGACATTCCTTCAGATTACTGTCCTGCTGTAGTTGGGCAGCGGCTCAGCCTGGTCCATACAGAAGACCCATGTCTATCTTCATCCTCTTCAGTTGAACATAAACTAGAACCAGTACTCAGAACAGAAAAGCAGCAGAGACCCCATGCCACCCATACTCTGTTCGACCCTTCTAGAGGGTTAGGACCCTGCATCACTAGAAATCCAGGGAGAGAAGGAGCCTGTGCAGCATAAGGTCAGGAAAGAACCAACTTGTATGATCCTTTTAAAAAAGAAAATCATGCCAGATTCCACTTTATTCATCAAAAACAGGTACAGTATAGGGAACCAGCAGTTAGCATAATGGCTATGTCCCACGTAGTCAACCGTGGTTCGCGTCCCGGACCCAGTGACTTAAAACTCACGCTGGGCATGTGTGCGTGCGTGCCCAAGATCCCGAGAGGAGAATGGAGGAGAAGGGATTGTGGCGTGACCATCCCTCTGGGGGTGGTGGTGGTGGGGTGGTGGTGATTTCTCGCTTTCTGTCTCTGTGTCTCTCTTTGTCTGTCTGGCGAGCGCACGCACCCTATAGTGAAAACCTCTTAAAAAGGGAACCAGCAGTTAGCATAACGGCTATGTCGCTGGACTACCACGTAGTCGACCGCGGTTCGTGTCCCGGACCCGGTGGCTTAAAACTCACGCCGGGCGCGTGTGCGCGCGTGCCCAAGATCCCGAGAGGAGAATAGAGGAGAAGGGATTGTGGCATGACCATCCCCCCTGGGGGGGTGATTTCTCGCTTTCTGTCTCTATGTCTCTCTCTGTCTGTCTGGCGAGCGCACGCGCCCTACAGTGAAAAATCTCTCCAAAAAAAAAAACCTCTTAAAAAAAAAACAAACAGGTACAGTATATAAAATTTTTGAGCTAGGTGCTAGAAGGTATAAGTGGCTTTTCTTATAATAAATAAAACAGCTCATTAAAAAACTGTTGGAATAAGTCAGCATGATCAGGATTTTTTATTTAATTTAATTTCCTAGTTAATTTACACTTGATTAATTTATACAACTCCTGGGGCAAGAGTCTCTTTAGGGGTGAGTGACCTTGCTTATTTCAGGAAGGCTATCAGATATATATCCAATTGCTCTTTTAATTAGATATACTTAAAAATGCAGCACTTGACTAATTATCATCAGTATAAAACAGAGCTTCAGAGATACTGTCTCTGCAATTCAGAAGGCTTCAGAGAAGAAATCTTTTAAAGGATATAAGAAGAAAGCTTCTGAAATATTAGAGAAATGGCTGATATCTAAAAGCAGAAACTGATTGGAATTCTAAGTTGTTGATGGGTCTGACAAAGAGTAGAACATCTGAAATATATGAATACATGTTAAAGTAATTTTGACAAAGAGTAGGGCATCTGAAATATATGAATACATGTTAAAGTAATTAGATTGAATTAATGTGAGGGGATTTCTGGATCTTAAGATTTGCAGTATTAGTTTAAATAAAAGAATGACTGCTTTATTTTCTCAAACTAATACTATAATTTCAGTACCTTAAAAGTGCAAAAGTAGAATTCTGAAGGCTTCTAGAGGTTCAAGAAGTTGGCACATGGACGATGTGCCCTTTCTCTTCCATTGACCCTCTGTCAATTTCTCCCCTTTCACTTCAGGCCACTGGGCTGCCTTCTAGCCAAGGCATCCTCAGAGGCTTGAATTTTGTTGGTCTTCTCCAGGTTGTTTTTCGTTGTTTGATACTAAGCATATTGTTCCTCTGATTTATCTTCTTATAGTAGAGTCTGTTCATTTATTCATTCACTCAACCCACATTTATGAAGTGATAGCTGGGGGGGAATATATTGATGAGTCAGATTCAGTTTTTGCTCTCTATGAGCATGTTATGTAAATGGACTGGTAGAGCAGAATGAAATAAACTGATGTTTGGGTGTTCAAATGGATGGTCAGGTAGACAGCCAGACATGAGGAAAAGGGAAGCTCTGGGGGTTATGTAGGAATCAGACAGGAGGCAACAGGCTTAGCCAGCCACGGGGAAGATGGCCTTATAGTCAGGCAGGGCTCAGAGCTGAGCACAGGTGAGCTGGTGCATGGCAGCATTCCCCATGTGGGAGCTGGAGTGAGTGGCTTGGGACACTTCTGGAGAGTCCTCTAAGTGACATGTGAGGGAGTTTGAGTTGACTCTAGGCTTGAAAGAGCTGCTGACGAGTCCTAAAGAAGGGAATGGAAGGGCCAAAAAAGGCCAAAGGGCGGTTATTAGAAGTGGGGCATATAAGAGCACGGGCAGGCGCTGCTGGGTCTGGTTCGGGATGAGTTGAGTTTGCATACCAGAAGGTCGTGCATTCACAGAAGTCACTGGAGTCCTGGTCTAGAGCTGAGAAGAGAGGGTTGAGAGCTTAGAGGTTTAGATTTGAAGGTCCAGCACGTGTATGTATGTGATTTTGGAGGTGGGAGAGGGAAGGAGGTTATTGAGAGGAAGGTACTGTAGACGGAACCTCAGGGATCCTGCCGCAGTAAGGCAGCTAACTGGGGAGCTAGGTGTGGCATCAACAGTTGGAAGGGACCCCAGAGGTTGCAGTGAAAGGCAAGTATCAAGGGGGGCTAGTGGTGTCTGCAGTTTCAGAAGTTGATCAGGGTCTGGGACCAGCAGTTAGCGTAATGGCTATCTTGCTGGACTCCCCTGTAGTCGACCACAGTTCACGTCCCAGACCCGGTGGCTTAAAACTCACGCCGGGCATGTGTGCGTGCGTGCCCAAGATCCCAAGAGGAGAATGGAGGAGAAGGGATTGTGGTGTGGCCATCCCCCCTGGGGGGGTGATTTCTTGCTTTCTATCTCTCTGCCTCTCTCTGTCTTTCTGGTGAGTGCATGTGCCCTATAGCAGAAACCTCTCCAAAAAAAAAAAAGTAGAAAAAAGAAGTTGATCAGGGCCTGTCCCTTTGTTCTAGGCTGTCAGCTTGTCACTCTTTTTAAAAATATTTATTTAATTTTATTTATTGTTGTTATTTGATGACAGAAGGAGAGAGAGAAAGTGAGAGAGCAAGCCACCAGGTCTGAGACTTGAATCGTGGTCAGCCATGTGGGAGTCCAGCACCTTAACCACTATGCCACCTGCCAGCCCTGCTTGTTACTCTTGTTTGCCATCATTACTATATATCGAGTCAGGTTTCAGAAATGGTGCTTCACCTGAAGTCTTCAGACCAGCACCAAGGGCTTACATCCATGGTTTTCAACCCCCTCTGCACGTGAGTCACCAGGGTTATTTTGAAAGAGTACTGATGCTTGAGCCACTTTCAAGAGTACACGTGCCTAAGCTTTGTCCCCAGAGGTTGCAGTTTGACTGGCCTCGGGTGGCGAAGGCTGTGCAGGTCATCGTGATACGCAGCCAAGTGTTAGCTACAGGCTCAGACTTGGCAGGGAGGTCTGGCATCTGCTCTCGGCATCCTGGCTGTCTGCTAGGGTTGCTTCAGGAGTTCCTGAGGGTGTTAACTTCGTTTTCAGTGAAAGCAGAAGACTGGACAGTAAGCTGTTCTAAAGCTACGTAGCATAATTATTTTTGGTGGATAGAGATTATTAAGTCTTGTAGATTTGTTGAAGTTCTTAACTGGTTTTGGACTATAGGTGTGTGGAAATTCCAATTTGCAGGGGAGTTGATGATCGGAACACAGGAGCTGGGTAGTTGGTTGAACTGACCTCTGACCAAATGCATCATGATCATTTTGACTCTGATTTCTTTTTTTTTATTTTTATGAATTTTAATGATTCATTCATTCATTTTAATTTGACCGGAGAGAGGCACACACACACGGGGGTGGGGGAGGAGGGAGAGAGAGAGAAAGAGAGAGAAAGTGAGAAAGCAAGCCACCAGGTCCAGGACTTGAACCATGGTCAGCCATGTGGAAGTATCCAGTGCCTTAACCACCATGCTACCTATTGGCCCCAGACTCTCTGTGATTTCTTTAGGTGACTGTTGTTTTAAGCCCTTGGAAGGACAGATGGTGTAGCTGCATTTGAAAGGAATATTGATCATAGGTGAACTTAATCTGGAATTAGGAAAGAGTCAGGAAAGTGATGGCAAGCATTTTATTGACAGATGCTCTTTATGGCATGATGACTTATGCCTGGGGGGAGTGTGAGGGACGTGTGGGGAAAGTGCACTAACAGTGTTTACCGTCCTCTGTGAACCAGGCTGCCAGAGCTGCCGAGGGAGAGAGCAGGCAGAAGTTCTTCACGCAGGACGTTAATGGCATCCTGTTAGAGTGAGTATGCTGTTTCTGCGATGTCTCTGCCTGCGCTGAGCAACCAGGGGAGAATGGGAGTACAAGTGACTGCATAGCAGTGACCACCAGTGAAGGAGAATTGGACTACATGGTTTAATGTTGTTCTAAAAAATGATAATAACAGATACTGATAATATGTGTCTCCAGAAGCAATAGGCCTTACCAAGTTCAGCCAGCAGACGTCGTTAGGGCGCCGTATGCGGTGGTCACGGCCTATCAGATGAGGAGAGAGGATGCTGCTTGCCTGTGTCTGAGACCCCAGAAGGATGGGTGTGGTACCTTTGGCCTGCTTGGCCTGCTCTGCACTGGGCGCTCCTCAGCATCCTAGTCATTGTCCCCTTGATCTCACTGCTCCCAGTGCCATGTACCTCATTTTGGACATTTCTCCTGCACCCCTGAGTCCCTGAGGCACTGCATTGCACTGTGTGAATTAGATTAAAAAGCCAGAAACCAGACATGATAATCCAAGCCTTGGGGCTGGTCCTGAACTCAAAGTGTTTCTCCTGGCTGTGCTGTGCAGCAGAGGAAGCTTGTTGCTCAACAGCTGAGAATTTTCCACATGTAAGAGCAGTTGTCAAGACTTGGGAATGTTCTAGCAAATGGCCTTGCCTGGCCAGGATCTGGTTTGAAAACTTGGGTCAGGAAGCATGGGCTACAGAGAGCTCCTGAGGGTCAGTCTGGACAAGAGGTTTGTGTCAGCAAGGAACTTGCTCAAGTGCCCTAATGTAAAGCGCCCGGAGCATGGCAGAGGAGTATTTTCCTGCTTAACCAGACAGGTACAATGGGGTAAGGACTTCTTTGACCTCGTAATTATGGCTAGGATCGCAAACTAGAAAAAACCAGCATTGCAACCCAAGTAGCTCACTACTAAACGCTTTATAAGTTATATTTTCTCTGTTTATGAAATTCAGTATCTCAGAGTTTGCTCTTAAGGGCACTGTTTCCATGACTACCTTTGACTGAGAGCTGTGACCACTTTATGTAGCCAAGTTCTTAGGTTTGGGAGTTGTTCTTGTTTGCTGAAGATCTGTTGCTTGACCACATGGTTACATCATGTGGCCAGGAGGATTTGGTTGTCCCTGCCTGTGGCCCCTAGCCTTCCTGTCTATGAACGGTGACTAGGGAAGAGAGAAGCTACAGCGAGCCATAGGCTGCGGCCAACGACTCTGTTCTGTTCTTCAGCATAGAGGTGCAAACTCGGGAGCTGAGCAGCCAGACCCGTTCTGGGGTCTACGCCTATCTGGCTTCATTCCTGCCTTGCAGCAAGGACGCTCTGGTCAAACGGGCTCGAAAACTGCACCTCTATGATCAGGTCGGTGGCTTTGGGGTAGAGCCCTTGGCTTTGGGGTCCAGCCGGAGCGTGGCTAAGTCTCCCTAGAGGCTGTGTCTGCTGCCGTGCTTCTTTCCATTTCTTCGTCGTGTACCCTCCACGTTCGAGTGATGCATAAACCAGTGTGTGCTGTGTCCTGCTCTGCAGGGTGGGCGTCTGAAGGAACCTCTCCAGAAGCTCAAGGAAGCCATTGGCAGGGCAATGCCAGAGCAGATGGCGAAGTACCAGGACGAGTGCCAGGCGCACACTCAGGCGAAGGTCGCCAAGTAAGGGCGTCCCCGCTCACTCATGTGGTATTGCCTGCCTGTCTTGTTTCTTTTCTTTACATGCCTTGGTACTTGTTTACATTCCCAAGTGAGACTCTCAGCTCCTCTCAGTATTTTCACCATCTCATCTCAGAAGTCTCGGTCATGTGGTGGGGAGCCAGGAGGCCTTCGGGTCCTATTAATTGTTTTTACCCTGTAGGATGCTGGAGGAGGAGAAGGACAAAGAACAGAGAGAACGAATTTGTTCTGATGAGGAGGAAGATGAAGAAAAGGGGGGTCGGAGGATCATGGGACCCCGAAAGAAATTCCAGTGGAACGATGAGATCAGGTGTGCTCAAACTGGGACCTTGCCTCAGTGGAGGGTTTGTGGGCTGGTGTCTGAGCATGTCCTCATGTTGCTTGTGAAGGTTAGGATCATTGACTTTGATCAGGGCTGCTGGAAACTCATGGCTGGAACCTTGCAGAAGCATTTGGGGTGATTGAGGTTGCCAATTTCTGCCTACTCCCCAGGGAGCTGCTGTGCCAAGTGGTGAAGATCAGGCTGGAGAGCCGTGACCTGGAGAAGAGCACAGCCCGGCCTTGGGAGGATTGTGTGAAGGCCTTCCTGGATGCCGAGGTCAAGCCTCTCTGGCCCAAAGGCTGGATGCAGGCCAGGTGAGGGCCGCTGTGATGAAATTGGTCATTTCCTGCCACAAGGGGATATTTGACTGCTGCTTTTGTGTCAGGCCAGTTGGGGATGGGGAGGTCCCTGCCCTCAGGGAGTCACTGTCAAGTTGACTCAACTCTCATGTCACCTTAGTACTTTGGGAACGTCTTGGAACCTACGATGAGGTCTTCTCTGTCTTCCTAGTAGGGAAGTTACCCGTGGGGCTTTTGTCTTTGTCGTGCTTTGTCTGCTTCTGTTCAGACTGGCTGCTGGCTCTTCCCATCTCAGTGCGTTCTTCCCTGTTGTGATGTAATGGCTCCTATGAGGAGATGATAGGTGGAGTCATCTTGGCATTTATCTTTAATTGCTAGATGGTGTGTGTACTCACGGGATAGTGGGGAGAAAGCACTTCCCAGTGGGGTACGGTGGCACCGCAGTTCTGTTCTGTCAGGATTTGGGGCATGCACAGACATGCACCTGGTGTTTTTCAAGCTGCCAGAACTAAGTTGAGCCTACTTATTGGTACTCCTAATGACTAAGTTATGGGGTAGACCCTCTTGGGCATTTATTTCTTTTTAAAGATTTATTTAATTTTGGGGCCAGCAGGTGGTATGGTGGTTAAGGTGCTGGATTTCCACATAGACGACTGTGGTTTGAATCCTGAACTTGGTGGTTTGCTTTCTCACTTTCCCTCTGTCTCTGTTTCTTTCTGGTGACCGTAGCAAACTTAATAATAATAAATAAATCTTAAAATTCCCTTAAGAATTATTTATTAAATTTCTATTTAACTTTATTACTACTTTAAATTTTTTTATGGGGCCTTTTTGCTCATCAGATAAGAGAGAAAGCAAGCCACCAGATCCAGGCTTGAACCACAGTCAGCCATGTGGGAGTCCAGTGCCTTATCCCCCACACGACCTGCTGGCCTGTCTTGGGTATTTCTTAATGTTCCTAAAGAAGTTTCATTTGTGCAGCCCAGCAGATGGCGTAGTGGTTACTTTGCTGGACTCTCACATAGTCAACCACTGTTGGAGTCCCAGACCTGGCAGCTTAAAACTCACGCCAAGAGCATGTGGGCATGTGCCCCAAATCCCGAGAGGATAATGGAGGAAAAGGGATTGCAGTGTGGCCATTTCCCCGGGGTGATGATTTCTTGTTTTCTGTCTCTCTCTCCGTCTCTCTGGTGAGCGCACTTGCCCTATAGCAAAAATCTCTCTAGAAAAAAGTTTCATTTGCACGTCACTGGGCTGACTCTTATGATGTTCCTTCCTCTGAATGGAGCAAACAAGGCAGAGAAAGTTAGCCAGAGTTGGTTCTTACTGCACCTGGTTCATCCATGGGGCGACTAGAGCAGCCTTGGACCTGCCCTTCTTTCTTTATAGGTTAGACTCATAGAATGAAGAGTTTTATAGAGTTCCTCTGGAAAAAGACCTGCTGTGGGCCACTGCACACTTTCTGATCAGGAGGGATGAGAATAGCCAGTGAGGAAAGTGCTGCTGCCTTTAGGGAAAACATTGCTGTAAGGAATTTGGACAGAGCCATCGCTTTTCTTAGGAAAGCCCAGACTTGTTAGATCCTCTCACCAGGGATCTGCTCACCAGGAAAGTGCTTCTGCCTTTAGGGAATTTGGACAGAGCCATCGCTTTTCTTAGGAAAGCCCAGACTTGTTAGATCCTCTCACCAGGGATCTGCTCACCAGCCAGCTGGCAATTAAATGAGCAGTGGTCACTAAGTGCCAGGGATACCAGAAGAGCTCCAGAAGCAGATCTTGGCTTGCAGGGACAAACACCAGTGTGCTGTTTCTTTTAGGACTCTGTTTAAGGAGAGCAGACGAGGCCATGGACACCTGACGTCAATCCTGTGAGTGTCTCAGCACTTCATTCTCCAGGAACTGTTGTTTTAATATCCTTGTGTGTATATCCTCTAACCCTTTTCTGTGTTTATTTCTTTGAACAGGGCCAAGAAGAAAGTCATGGCCCCTTCTAAAATCAAGGTCAAGGTGAGTCAACCTGCTCAGGTCATGTACCAGCTCAGGAAACCTTGTCAGTGACCGCAACAACGCATTGAGCTCTGTAGGTGTGGGGACAGCTACTCAACATAGTGCTTTTTTTTTAGTTTGTTTTCCTCATGAGAGAGAGGGCACCCTCAAGCAACCAGAGTCACCGGCATGCCCAGTGTGCGTGGGTAGAGCTGTAACGTAAATCCAGAGCCTTTCTGTGTGGCCTCCAGCGTAACACAGCAGTGCCCCAGTTGCCTGTGCCATGATAGCACTCAGTAGGCAACTGGGCAAAGACCTGAGCTGGGCTGATTAATCCCTTCTAGCCTTGGTCCTAAAGAACAGTGCCACCCTGGCACTGTTTCTGGGGCTGTGGTGGGCTGAGACGGGGTCTCGGTGGTAGCCCTCTGAGGGGTGCAGTGTCTCTGTGGACTGGAAGGCATTGTACTGACGCCGGTATTTTTATGGAGAAGACACTCCTGACCAGGCGCAGTTTAGCTGGGAGCAATAGGAGAAAGGAGAGGTGGCTTTACGGAGTTACCTGGCAGTGATGGGGGAAGTGCTATGTGTGGAGAGTAGGGACCGTGAAAACTGTTGTGGGTGTGGCAGACAGCTCTTAACATGAACATTCCTGCCGGCCCAGTAATGTT